CAGTTCTGAAGGTGAGAAACAGACAGGATCCCGTGGAGGGCTTTTTATACTCTAATACTGACTCTAACCTTCAAGAGGACCTCATGATTCACCCAAGAAAAAAGAATTTCTCTAACATAGAGACCTTTTAGGGTATTCCTACTAGAAACTAAGAATATCCCATTGTGATTTCAAAACTCTTAAGCAGATCTGTCAAAAGAAGATGTGTGACAGGATCTTGCTTAGGATCAGAAAAGCAACAAAGTCACCACCACCACTTCCTTTCCACAGGATGGGCTCCAGTGCTCTCTGTCCTTGAGAAAGCTTCACAAAGTATTTGAGAGTCATCAGGGATCAAAGCTCTGGCTTCTAGTTACCAGTGTTTTTATGTGCCTTTCCCATGGTGGGACCCATCTGGGGGCAGCTGTCTTATACTCCTTTGCAGTATTTTAAGCAATCTTATGACCAAAGAGCAACACCTTTGTATTTCAGTGTCTTGGCCCCACAGTACTTTTGTTTTAGCTATGCTTTCATTTAAAGCAAAAATTTCAAAGGATTGATCCCTGGTTCCAAGAAGTATCATACACACAAGGCAACTTTATTAGATAAAAATGAAGCCACTGTGATTGACAAATTGTAGAAGAACCTGGGATTTTATCTACCTGCACCGCTACCTCCCTCTCCAATTTGGTAACAATTTAAAACCTTAGACTCTCAAGGATGAAGATACTTCCTTATGTATGAATCAAAGTATATTGAAACTGTGCAGAGTAAACAAAATTAATGTGAGACTCAGATGACTTATTTCCTACTTTTTCTAGAGGAACCTGTATGTACAAAAGAGATAGAAAATCCCATCCAAGCCCCCTTGTTCTCTGGCCCAGGACTCTTACTGATTGATCATTTATATAGTGGCCATTGTTGTCTGTAAGGTTCCAAGACCCCCTGTGGGTACAAAACTCTGAGGATGCTCAAGTCCCTTAGAGGAAATGGCCATAGTATTTGCGTATAGGTATGCACATCTTCTCATGTACTCAATTTATTTTAATTTTATTAATTGGTATTTTATGTGTTTTGCCTGCATGTGCGTAACTGCACCATGTACCTGCAGTGTCCATAGAGTCCAGAAAAGGGCATTGGATTCTCCTGGAACTAGAGTTACAAACAGTTGTTCACTACCGTGTGGGTGCTAAGAACTGAACCTGGGTCTTCTGCATGAACAGCAAGCGCTTTTAACCACTGAGCCATTTGTCCAGCTCTACCCCCGTGTACTTTTAAGTTGTCTTTAGATTACCTCTAATGCCTCATAATACAAGTGCTATTTAAATAGTTGTCATATTATATTGTTTAAGAAGTGCTGACAAGATCTGGTTAGAGAGACTCATGCCTGTAATCCCAGCATTTGAGAGGCTGAACTGCAAGTTTGAAATCAACTTGGGCCAAAAAGGGAGTTCCAGACCAGCCTGGACTACAGAGTAAGACTCAAAAACAATGAAAAACAAAACAAAGAAGGTAAAAATAAAGTAATGATGAGGGAAACTGTCTGTACATGTTCTGTAAAGACATTTTAAAATATTATGACTCTTAGCCAGGTGATAAGGCCTGTAATCCCAGCCAAAGTAGGAGGAGCACCTGGTCAAGGCCTGGGCTACAGAATAAGTTCAAAGCCAGCCTGGACAACTTAATGAGTCCCTTTTGAAAAAATGAAAAATAAAAAAGAGGCCCTGGGATACAGCTCCGTGGTAGAGCACTTGCCTGGCATATACAAAAGGCCCTTGGTTCAATTCCCTAGGACCTAAAACATGTGCACAACCGTGTTTGTGTATGGTCCTCATTTGGTCTTATCCGCCGATATGGGACCTGCAGATGTGGAGGACTGATGGTATTTGTCTGTAAGCATAGTCAGATGCACCATTAAAAAAAATAGATAATGACCCTAAATAAATGTTAGCCATCCTGAGAGTCATGTAGTTGCTCTGTTCTGTGACAGTGTACAGAACTGATTTCTTCAGAATTCCTTTTTTACTAGGTTCCAAATTCATTATTGGAAGATGTGATGCCATCATTTCTTCCTCCTTTATTCATTCCTTCCATCAGCTTCCATCTGTCTGTCCATCTGCTGTTAATACCTGCTCTGATAGGTGTGGGAGACAGGCTGGTGGGAGGGACCAACATGTGTCTGCCTTTTCAGAGTTTTATTCCAACAAAATCTTAACAGAAATTTAAAATACAAACCAGGTAAAAGTGGGTTTGGTTTGAATAGAGCAGCTCTTCCTGATATCAGGAGCAAAGTCCCCTTCATATATGGTCTAGGTGCCTCCTCTAGCGACCTGGCTTAAAAACTTCTGTCCTTGATCTGACATGATTTCAAATTCCGATAATGTGTGTGACTGTTCCTTAGGCACAAGGACAAATGTGCACATTCTGGACCTCAGACTTTGTAAAGCATGAGGTAGGAACAGGTAGCTTCTGTGCTCCCTTTTCTACCTCAGAGCTTTGTCTAAGAGCCATAGTATGAGGCCCTACAAGGACCCCCATGTACTAGAGACTTCTCCAACTTTGCCCTGTGTGCTTTAAAATCTTTCCTGCCCCAGTTGAGAAGCTGAAAACAAAAGGATTGCAGAAGTGGCCCATGTACCTCTTTTTTTTTTTTTTTGGTCTTTTTGAGACAGGGTCTCCCTGTATCTCCAGCTGTCCTGGAACTCACTATGTAGACCAGCAGGCTGGTCTTAAACTCACAGAGATCTGCCTGCCTCTGCCTCTGCCTCCCGAGTGCTGGGATTAAAGGCGTGCGCCACCATACCTGGCCTCTTTTTGGTCTTTTTGAGACTCTGTAGCCCCAGCTGGCCTGGAACTCCTTCTGTAGACCAGGCAGAGAGATTCACCTGCCTCTACCTCCTGCTGGGATTAAAGGCGTGAGCCACCACCCCCGGCCCATTTACCTCTTTATTATTATTATTATTATTATTATTATTATTATTATTATTATTATTTTATGTGTATAAGTGTATTGCCTGCATGTCTTCTGTGAGTGCACCTGTGTCATGCAACATGCGGAGGTCAGAAGAGGGTATCAGATTCCCCTGGAACTGGAGTTAAGGATGGTTCATAGCCTCCATGTGGGTGCTAGGAATCGAACCTGGGTCCTCTGCAAGAGCAGTCAGCGCTCTTAACCACTGAGCCATCTCTCCAGCCCCTTTTAAACTTTAAAAAAAAAAAAGAAACATTTATTTATTATTTTTATTTTATGTGTATGCAAGTATTGCCTGCATTGTAGGTAAGTGCACCCATGTTGTGCAGTGCCCACAGAGGTCAGAAGAGGCTGTCGTCGATTCCCTGGGACTGGAGTTACAGGCAGTTGTTAGCTGCCATGTGGGTACTGGGATTCAAACCCGGGTCTTCTGCAAGAACAACCAGTGCTCTTAACTGCTGAGCCTTCTCTCCAGCCCCCCCCCCCATTTACCTTTTAAAGGGGGACAAGAAAAAAAAGAGTGGTTTCTGCAAATTTTGGTTAGCTTGAAATTATGTAATCTTGTTTACTTTTCCTGTGGAGGTGGGGGAAGTCCCCATCATAATTTGAGACTCATGGTAGTTTTGCCTCTGGCAAGTTGAAATGAGAAAAGTAAATGCTGGGACACCAAAAACTTCGTGGATGCACAACTGTGCGCTTGGGTTTAATCAACCTCTTTGTTTGGTTTCTCCTTTTCTTCTGTGCCTGTAACAGCCTCTGTGGTGCATGCCCACATGATTCAGTGATGTGCTGAGCAAGGCCCACATGTGTGCTCATTGGAAATGAAGTAAAGCATTCTTGCTTTTTGTATGGCTGTGTAGAAAAGGTCTAGTTTTTAGGATAGAGTGATGCTCAGGTCTGAGCTCAAGTTGAAGTGTCTCCGCCTACCCACACCATTGCAGCTAGCTGCTATTCCATCCCTGTGAATTTCTTCTACTGTTTCTTCTCTTGCTCTTTTATTCCTGTTGTATTCAACTCAAGTCCAAGAAGGAGATTTTTAATTACTTAGTCAATTTGTATTTTATGTGTGAGTGTTTTGCCTGCATGTATATAAGTGCACTATGCACATGCAATACCCACGGAGGCGGAAGAGGATGTCAGATTCCCTGAAACTAGAGCTGTGGACAACTGTTAGCTGCCATGTGGGTGCAGCAAACCGAACCCAGGTCCTCTGAGAACAGCCAGTGCTCCTAACCACAGAGCCAGGCCCAAGAAGGAGATATTTTTATGTTTAGGTTGTGAGCCTGAGCTCTAGCCTTAGAAGGAGATTTTTTTTTAAAGCAAGTAATTACTCAATAAATTGATGAAATATTGATGTAGGTCAAGGTCCAGTAGGTATGTTTTATTTGGCATGAATAATGCTTAAAAATTATTTGTTGACTTTGAATATCTTTGGACTTTGCAGGTGCTTTCCTGTTCACTACACTCTCCCCCAACCCCTGTGACCTCTCACCAATTTCATGTGTTTTCATTACTTACCCATTTTTAGAGTCAGTTTGGTCCTTCATTGAATTCCACAGCTATTTCAGTGTACTTTTACTGAAAGTGTTCTGTATGCAATTTAGAGCTATAGAATACTGAAAAGGCACTGCTTCTTTGTAGGTGTTTAGATGTAACTATAGTACTTATCTATAGAAAGTGGTTACAGAAATCTAGAGTTGTAGCCAAGAAGGGTGTGTAATGCCAACCAGTCTTCCTGATTGACAGTGGGATCCAGTAGGCTCTGTGTAGGCATGTGGATTTTCCTGAGTAGTTGACTCCAGTTCATGGAGCTTTAGCGTCCTCATAGGGTTCTTGTAGGTTTTTACATCCATATTCACAGTTCTTCCCGTGTTTCCGCCATGTTCATATTCACACGTCAGCCTGCCTTTCCAGTTCTTCCCGTGTTTCTGCCATGTTACCACTGTATGTGGATAGGATGGTTTTAGTTCTGCTTGTGGCTGGCGGTGCTGAACATGGAAGATTCCTTTTGCTCCCTCAATAAAGTCATCTCCTTTTTCTCATTTCTCAGCAGATATCTGGAGTGATCAGTCATTTCAGACAGATCCAGATTTGCCGCCTGGCTGGAAAAGAATCAATGACATTGCTGGGACCTATTACTGGCACATCCCAACAGGAACAACGCAGTGGGAACGGCCCATCTCCATCCCAGCAGATCTTCAGGGTTCTAGGAAAGGGTCACTTAGCTCTGTAACACCCTCTCCCACTCCAGAGAATGAGGTAAAGTGGAGTCTTTTTACCTGCTTAGTAGATGTAACTCATAATTTCTCTTTAGACTAGCAACCTCTGTCTTGACAGGTCATCCAGGTAAGCATTCTGATTTTATACATGTTGTATTTGAAATCTTAGTAATTTTTTTCCTCTTTGTAAATAGTGCTAATATCTTGTTTGGGCCTGTTTTCACTTTTAATGAATTTTGGTCTCTTGAAACATGATTCTAGATACAAAAAACCAAGAGTTTCTGATTAATGAGAAGTGGTTATGATTCCCTAGGGCTCATCATGGAAGTAATCTTACTCTGTGGGTACCATTGCATAGAGCTGGCTCAATGAAATATTTCCACGAAGAAGAACATCCCTTGGCCAGCCATGTCATAATTACTGCCTATCTTATTAGCCTTGGGTTCATTTGCTAGTGTGCAGGGGATGTCTGTAAGTACAGCCCTTGAGACCCCATAAATGCTTAATTTCTATTTAAAGAAAAAAAAAAAGAGATGTGCTTATTTAGCAAAAGTGACATTATTTTGGAAATAATTAGCAGCATAAATTTCTGGTATCCCTGAGGAAGAAATCTGGATGTTTAAACAAAGAATTGAGACGTTAAAAAATTCCATTGTAGTATTTATTAATGTAAAGATTCCTGCAACGAACCTTTGTGAATCCTGGTAACAGCACACTCAAGAGAATTGTCATAGGGAAAGGTCACAGTCAAGTGATTTATTTATTTATTTGTTTATATCAGTGGTTTCTCTAATATACAGGTATTTCTGCCTTTTTCTGGTGATAATCTTTAAACAGTTCATTTTCTCTTCATTTGAGGACATGAGTGCATTTGAACTTTATCCCTAGCTGGCAGAGCTCTTCTCTGTTTGCAGCTCTTCCCACCCATCCCATCTTTAAAAACAGACAGCATCTTATTCCTAACTCTTCAATTCATAATTTGTTCTTCTCTGGGAGGCAGTAGTCTAACCACCTTCCTACTTTTAGAGGGCTTCAGCATCTCCTTTCCCCAGCCACAGCCTCCATTCTCCATCTTTAGAGAGATGGGTTGGAACTAGCTCTATCATCTTTGGTAGATGAGAGCCTTAGCTGGGCTGGACTTTGCTCTGCTCATCAGGCATGTGATTCAGTGGCACTAGATGATTTTGATAATTTTTCATTGAATCCCAATATTTCTACATCCTGAGCAACTTCTATTCAGTGACTTATTCATCGTGTGTTAGGTGTGCTGAGAATAAAAATGAACCAGCCCTCAATAGGTTTGGTATGAAAGGATTCACTTCCTGTCTCATCGTGGACATGCCCTGGACTTGCTCTTTGTTTTTGTTTTGTTTTGTTTTGTTTTGTTTTTCTGCAGTTTTTATAAAAATTATTTATTTTTTGTTATTTATTTAATAACCACATACTTAGAAGAAGCATTTCATTACAACAACATTGACATATTCAATAATATTTTCCTGAGCTAAGATGTATCTCTTTCAAAAATTGGCTGTAAATTTTTAGGTTTCAGTTGGATTATTACAGTTATACAATCTTTTACTCATTATAAACTCTATAAGACATAAAATTAAATGAGGTTTTAACATTTAAAAAAGATCTCCAATTCA